CAACCATTCATAGCTGATCTGGACAGCACTGTTAATGCTGCTGCACCTCCTCGTCGACATACTCCGCTGAGCAGTCCCGTCCTCGCCGAATCAGCAAGTGCGTCATTGATTTTTTTAAATTGCGGGGTGAGAAGCCCTGTTGCGAGAATTTTTGGTTTAAACATTGTTTGTCAAGCAAGATGCCATTCACATAATCATGTGATATGGGCATAAAAGGTCGAAATGTGATTTGTTACTGATAAAAAAGGTGATCAACAGTGCATTAAACTGAACTGTCAGTTATTATACACATTAACTTCTTTTATTTGACATCTTTTGTTCTTGGAGAACATTGAGCAAAGTCGGGCCACTTCTTCATAATGATGGATTGGGAATTTTTCCTGAGTTACATTTTTCAAAGAAAATATAATGCGGCTGCGCTATCTCATTTCAGAAGGAAATAGATATTTTAACACTTTCAAAATAATAGTTCATATTTTTTCCAGAATAAATTTTTTTTTTTCTCAACCATGTCACCAGTAGTCTCGTGCTTTCTGAAAATGTCCAATAAATTAACTCGTCTACTTTATGTGTAGCATGATCTACCCAACATCAATGAATTATCGGGACAATCTATCTCGAACTGTTAGTGTGCTTTTCTTAAGGCAACATTCTTGCTAAGTTGTGAAATTTTAAATTACTCCAAATCTCAAATACTTTTCTTCTATTGGTGTCAGCCCACATCAAATATTCAAAAAAATAGGATTTTCACTTAGAAGCTATCATAGCGAGAAGAGTTGTGGATTGTCTGATATATTTCATATATGAGAGTAAGCTTCAGGAAATTGCAAACTCAGCGAAATCATGCCAAATTTGGAAATCTGATTTTATCTTAGTGGCACGAAATTATGCTTTATTGTTCATATGAGCTGCGTTCCATTCCCCAGAATCAGCTTGCATAGACTGCTTACCGCTGCACCGTTTCTTCTCCACTTTTCTTGTTCTAAGCGTGGCATTCTGAATTTCGAATCTTTCGTCTCAAATTCACAAAATCTTCTTTCATACTAATATAGGTTTGAACAGCTCATTATAATATAAAGGTGACATTTGTCTTAATCCGCTTAGTATCACAATATATTCAAATACATTCCTTCGCTAAGGTGTTTGATTCGATGTATGTATGAATCGATTTTTCTTCCTACTTTCGTATATTCAGTTCCATTGCTTGGGGCCCAGATTAGTTTGGAGTTTTTCCAACGTCGTCCACGGCCATGGCCGCTGACAACTGAATCAGTTGCATGGGAACGATGGATACTGCTTCTCGACATATTCAAGGCGAATTCTTACGGTATGTAAATTTTTATTCTCCAATCGTCATTAATTTTAATTTATATCAAGGATAAAGATCACCATTTCTCCGTTTTTTTTTTCAAGTCTTTCATGCTTTATTATTCAGTTTTTTTTAGACCTCTGCCTTTTTTCGTGCTTAAGAGTATTTTCCTACGATGGATTTGTGTCATAAAGTAACTATGTGTTAAAAAGCAAGAAACGTATAATCGCCAAACAAAGTCCATCTCCGCCAACATCCTCAACTACGGACACCCCACGATGCACTCCATACTTCTCGCAAATAGTGTGCGCGATTTGTTGTCTGTGTATTACGGCCAAAACCGCGTGAAGCGACAGCATCTCTCTCTCCGCGCGGGCGCTTCACGTCGCGGCCGATGCATCATGCAGCCATGGATGAATGTAAAAAGTTTTAAGCTCTTACATAGCCACCAGTGGCTCTGAAAGACGTCTTCCTTAGTGTTGAGATTGATAATCTTTTTTCGTTAAACGGAATCTAATTCACTGACAAGGAGGGATACAAAGTCGAAGTAGCTATTCGAGAAGAGATAGATAGAGACACATTGATAGATGCAGTTTGAAATGCTGACTCCAAATCTGCCTTCCCTATTTCCGCGGCAATTCTTTAAAAGGAGTTATAAAAGTTTTCCACTGTCAAAAATAGCGTTTGCCTGTTAATGGTTGACGTAAAGTGTCAAATTTAGTCTGAAACGACGCAAAAATTTCTTATTCGATAAAATATCTTTTCAACATTAATCGGCTTTTGCGCTACTGTTTCGGGTTCAAATTAAAGTTTTGGACGTTTTCCACAGATTTGCGAGCCATCCTTGATAGCAGAAAATGTTT